CATGTCATGCCCCGGGTTTGGGGTAAAACCTCAGCGACCTCCGGTCGTTCACCATTCAGAGGAGACGTAACCTGTTACGTCCAGCTCAGCCGCAGCTGTCTCGTGTTGGTACTGTCCAGATGCAGGAAGGCGTGCAGTGATGCCCATCGACATCCTCCTAGGGCCATGATGTTCAAAACCCCCAATGTTTTTTTTTCCCCCCTGTAGGAATTTTTTTTCCTGTTCATATGTATTATATTTTTTTTTTATTTTGTTTTCTGTGCCCTTTTCCCTACGAGAGCCCCGAGCTCCTTTTACCCCCAGTATTGTCCGGAGTTTACCTGGAGAGAGTTCCGGGGTCAACCCCCCCCGGGGCCCGGTCTGTGACCGGGCCTCCGGGTGGATCAGAGCCTGATCAACCAGGCTTTTGCTGCGGCTGCACGAAAACCCAATGTACGACCCACACCCCGGCTGTCAGGAACTACTTTGGTGCTTGTCCGTGCCAGCTTGAAGCGGGGGGTCGTTGGTAACCCCCTTATGTGTGCTGGGAGGCGTTAAACGTCTCGGGGCCCCTGACATTTATTGTATGGTTTTTAACGTGCTGGACACCCCTGCTTTTTTTGGGGGGGGATGGTGCATCGTTCCCAAGTTTTTGCTTTTATGGTGATTTTCGGTGCAATTTTTCGGTCAGTCCCCTAGGATTTTCCGGGTTTTATAATATGTATCTTTCCCTCTCGTTCCAGGGTTTTTACGGGTTTGGGAACCTCAAGCGCTCCCAGTAATTGAGGTGTTTTATCTCCTTTATGCGCGCCATGAAATTTCTTGTACATTTTTAGGGGGAAATTTTTCACCTCCCTTGAAAGGTCTGTTAGTGTGCAGCAATTTTCCCCCTAGATAAAAAGTGACCTGAAGAGTGTCATCATGGGTTTGGGCCTCCCTTTTTGAAGGTTTCTCATTATCCCTTTCATTTTCTAGAGATAAATTATACAATGTTATGGTCCTTGAAGGTGAGTCCCCGCATGATCACCCAGGTCTTTGACGTTGGTTTTTTGCTCTTTTTGGGGCCCAAAAATTTTTTTTGTTTTGATAAAGTTTTAAATTTCCCTCATGTTTACCATATTGGTAATTAAAATTTTCATCGTTGAAACTCATTTGCTTTCTGCAGCCCACGAAAGATTGGTTGATGTCCGCTGGACCCTTGCAGTGCTGCAATGGAAGACACTGTCATGCAGATTGGGTGTCACTGAAAAGGAAGCACGGGCTGGGGTGCATCCTTGTTATGGGAATGGGATGAGGAACAAATGAGAGCAGTACTGTGCCCTTTTGGAACAGAGCTTTTCACCGAGTGCCTCGGACTTTACTCTGTTGACGACTTCTCTGTGTTTTGTTGTGAGGAAATTAGTCCCTCGACCCACTTTTTTTATTCCTTTAGCACCATTTTGTGCGCTATTAGCCATGGTCCATTGTCGAAGGTTTTGCAAAAACTGTATATATTACATCTGCATTCTTTTTGGTTTTGTGCATTTAGGCCTTGTCGTAGTGATCCTATTGAGAAGACAGGAGCGACTGTTTTTAAAAACCCCTGTTCCCCGGGGTTTTTGTAACTGATGGGTTTCTAGATGGGTGGTGATCTTGCTTCTTAGGGCCCTTTCAAAGATTTTTATGTATGGGTTTAGTGCTATTGGGGCGTAGTTCTTTGCTGTTTTTACTGCCCCCTTGTGGAGTGGGGCTATGTCTGTTGTTTTTAGTAAAATGTGGGAAAACGCGCGGGAGGGGGCTGAGTATGTAAACGCCTGACTGTCTGCACAGACAGCCCATGCTGTCGCCACTTAGTTCATATTTTGCGCCCCTCAAGTGTTGCCCTCTGTGCCGGCCCCTCGGTAGGGCCCCAGCCTGTCGCCCATGCCTCGCTCCCACTCCAAGCGCCTAGCGGAAGACACAAGTACTCCCAGCTCTCTTCTGGGATGACCCCGCCCGGGCCAGGGCAAAACACACAAAAGCCTGTGTACCCACCATGATCTAACAATAAAGTAAAAAGCCTCCCAAGAAGTTATCATTTACTCCCCGCTACCAGAATACCAAATAATCCTTTTTATAAAAGACCTGGGAGTGATCATGTCGGAGGATCTTACCTTCAAGGACCATAACATTGTATCAATCGCATCTGCTAGAAAAATGACAGGATGGTTAATGAGAACCTTCAAAACTAGGGAGGACAAGCCCATGATGACACTCTTCAGGTCACTTGTTCTATCTAGGCTGGAATATTGCTGCACACTAACAGCACCTTTCAAGGCAGGTGAAATTGCTGACCTAGAAAATGTACAGAGAACCTTCACGGCATGCATAACGGAGATAAAACACCTCAATTACTGGGAGCGCTTGAGGTTCCTAAACCTGTATTCCCTGGAACGCAGGCGGGAGAGATACATGATTATATACACCTGGAAAATCCTAGAGGGACTAGTACCGAACTTGCACACGAAAATCACTCACTACGAAAGCAAAAGACTTGGCAGACGATGCAACATCCCCCCAATGAAAAGCAGGGGTGTCACTAGCACGTTAAGAGACCATACAATAAGTGTCAGGGGCCCGAGACTGTTCAACTGCCTCCCAGCATACATAAGGGGGATTACCAACAGACCCCTGGCAGTCTTCAAGCTGGCACTGGACAAGCACCTAAAGTCGGTTCCTGACCAGCCGGGCTGTGGCTCGTATGTTGGTTTGCGTGCATCCAGCAGTAACAGCCTGGTTGATCAGGTTCTGATCCACCAGGAGGCCTGGTCACAGACCGGGCCGCGGGGGCGTTGACCCCCGGAACTCTCTCCAGGTAAACTCCAGGAGACAGGGCAAATAGAAAACCGGGAAACAAGAACCCTTATTATTATTATTATTATATATTTAAAAAAAAAAACGCCTAAATACGAAACACTAAAACTAGGTCAGCATCCCTGGCATGCATACCCTGCACAAGAACTGTATACCACTTGCGATCGAGGAAGGGAAATCACGCCTCACTGACAGTGTAATAAACAACTTATTTACAAACTGAACAAACAGCCGAATAATCCTCAGGATACTCCATAGACTACAGCAACAAATAAAAAAATAAAAAAAAGGCAGAGTCAGAGTCAAGACGTGGGGATGGAAAAAAAGTGGCAAATGACGTTGTAAATGTTCATGATATACAGAGGCAAACAACTTACCCGGAGATAAATTTCCTCGTGTTGATGTTTGCACGATGCTAAACATTGCTAGTGTTAGATAAAAAAAAGTACCTAGGGATAAACATTATGCCGAACCTAACATCAGAGGCTCATATATACGGAATATCTTCGGCTGTTAAAAATTGGCAGATATAAGATCAATCTTCAGCAATTTGAATATGGAATCAAATAAGTACATACAATACCAGGAACAATGCCCTTTTCCACTGATGCAGACAGTGAGGTGTAGCAGAGCAGTTAGTATATTAGGTTCAACACCAGCTGTTTGCAAGGGGGCCATTAAAATCACAAAATATATTTAAATAAATAAGATAGTGAATAAAAACTCCCCAATGTACTGTATATGCAGTGTATATATCACTGGGTAACAGCACCACTAACAGTATAGATGTTTTAATATTCTGACGTAATAATAATAATATAATTATTAACGATTGTAAGTGTATATTAAGAATCTCTTTATGTTGCCCCTTTGTTATAGGGTGAAGTGGCAAACCTGCAACTGATCTATTCCTACAACAGTCAACATATCCTCCGATTTTGGCGTTTAGCACGAATACCATGATGTTCATCTATTACCTTTAGAATCTGTTTGTTATGGCGTTGCAATACAACTATAGCAACATGGTTATACTACATGGTGTTAGCCAGAACTGTGGTGTTAACCGGAGGTATGGTACTGTGGTTTGGAGGCACCTATTTTGCTGTGTGGTGTGGATCAGAACTATGTGGTGCTATGGGACTGTGTGGTGTTGATCAGGGCTGTGGATAAACTGGGCCTATGGTGCTGTGTCGTACTGACCGCTGTTTATGATGCGTAGCGTAGAACAGAATTGTGTGGAGTGGGTACTCTAGTGTGGGCCATTATGGTGCTGTGGTGTAGGGTGCAATGGTTTTGGTTAGACTGACTACTGATAATGAAAAGCTCATTATGGGCTATAGCATCTTGTACTTACTTATTTGTGGTTGCAGTTGAACATTTCATTGAACACTGTCTGTTGATGTTTAGCAAAGAAAGTAAAAAAAAAGACAATCTTACTTGGGGCTATCCGTTAACACTTGAGGTTATGCTAGCATGCGGCCCTCTTGCTCCCCACAGCGTAATCCTACCACTGCCGGGTTATGAAACTTCAGGCTCCAGGGTCGTGATCACTCGTTGGGGACGGTTTGAACCCTCTAAGTTATCTCTGAACGACCTTATGAAGGCTTCTCTGGCCGTCATAGAAGTGTGGATGGATGAGGACGAGCAAGCGAGTGTAACAGCCATGGTGACCGTGGAGGACTGTCAGTCCCTGGGTTTCTCCCACATAACAGCCTTAACCCCTAGTTTCGTCAAGAAGGCCTCTGCGCTCCTCCAGGTATTACTTATGACGGAAAAATGTTAAGTAATGCTGAGTATATTGTAGGAGGCTCTTGCGATCATTTATATTATATACAAAATTCGTCATAGGCAAATTTCATATAGCCTAATCCATATTAAATTATTAGAATTAGAACTAAGTGCTAAACCCACAAGGGTCATACAGCACTCCATATTATAGAACATAAAATAATAAAGACTTTACACGGTTCACTGGTAAAGTGCAACGCCAGCTGACACTTCTAGTCCTAGATTTCAAGAGTCCTAAAACAATGAAGGCAGAACCAGTAGCTAAAACAGTCATTTTTCAGGTTTTATTAATTTTATACAAAATGTTACGGTTTCATTTTTTTTTAACAAAATGCAATACAAGTACATTTAGCAATGTACATTTTCAGTACGAACCACAGTTTGTTTTAAAATGTAGGGCAAGACACTGCAATGATAAAATAAAATAATAATTTCTTTATTTCTACAAGTACATGTACAAAGTATATAAGCCTAGCTGACATCAATGACATATTACTATATAGAAAGCCGCTTGTTATTTTATTATTATAATCACGGGGGAGCGCTAAAAAGCCGCTTGTTATGCAGAGCATTTAGTACAAATTAGGTCAATTTTGTCCCAGGATTCGACCCACACCAGCCGACTAACACCCAGGTACCTATTTTACTGATGGGCGAACAGGGACAGCAGGTGTCTTACGGAAACACGTCCTAATGTTTTCCAGCCGCACCGGAAATTCGATCCCCGGACCTCAGCATATGAGCTGAGTGCGCTAGCGATCAAGTTAGTGACACCTAAAATATCGCCCGTTACAAAGGTACTGAGACTATTTTATATTAAAGCCTATCTATTGTACATGTGTCATCTCTACATGTCACCTGTACAGTGACTTCGTCAGGTTATCCTAGGTTAAATCTTCAAAATTTATGACCCGTTTATGCTAGTAACAACTATGTGCTTAATGTAACCATTGTAGGGATTTATAATACGTTGTCAAATCACCTATATTTAAACATCAGTAAACCTATTCAAAGTGGTTTTTAAAAAACAGCGACACAACCTGTCATAGCGGAGGTGATGATGGTTCAAGGCTGGTACGTGGTTTCTTTTCGTTTATTCTCAAAGCAGTTCTCCAGATGTTTACTTCATGAAGAGCGAGACATTACATTATTTTCCTGGATCTTTAGTGACAGTAGCGTCCTGTACCGACTCCAGAATGGCCATGGAACCACTTTCAGGCAATCACTTATTGGAAGAAACCAATACCTGAGTTCTACCTATTCCTTGTGGTATTTTGACTGTGGAACCGGCTTTCGTCACGACTCAATGACGATTCAAGGATCGTCCACAAGCCAAGGACTGAGTGGCTCGAGGCCATCCGCCAAGAGACATCAACAAACGAGCGACGAGGCTGACGCAGTACACACGACAAGACAAATGAAGAAGCAGCCCAGCCACCGTGGAGAGAAGACGTCGTCGTTCCTGCTCTTCAGCTGAGCAACTCTGAACACTGTTGCTCGAGATTTTTCTTGAGTTATCCTGAGTAATTCTTCACCAGAGCTGAGAGGAAACTTGCTTGCAGTCACTTCGAGCCCCATCCCATCAAGAGGGTAAGGCGGTGACTTGCTTGCTTGTTCACCCCTCTCATCCCCATCCTCCCCTCACCCAAACATCAACACTGGCCCACACACTTAACACACTACATACATTGCTATCCTTCTGACTTTCCTATCTTCTTCTTTTTCGGCAACTTCGCTTTGGCGAGTTAACACAAGGCATTTTGGACCATCCGGTAGCCCGTGTGGTTTTTAAAATCCGGCCGATCTTTTGCCTTGGGCCCTTTCCCCTCAATACCCGAGGGTAGGCTATCTTAGGGGCTGACCTTCATAAGTCAGCTGAAATAGGATGTTAGGTTAACATTAAGGAAAGATCCCTTTTTGTTACGAAACTCCTCTGCCAGATGTTCCTTCCTAAACATCATGGCGAGGATACGTGTAAGATTACGCATTGATGGTAATCAAATGTCCATGAAAGAAATTCTAACATGTATTTGCTCCAACTCAACTGTTGCTCCAGTGGATGTTTTTCAAACCCACGCTGGAGCAGTACTTCTCCTCTCTTCGGAAGAAGAGTTACTTCAACTGCTGAAGCATGATGTCCTGGATAAACTGAAGACTTCTGGTGTTACCCCAGTTGCACCTGAGAGCTATCAAGCTCAGTGGACTGTGTTTGTGGCCAGAATTAACAGTTTCATGAAACAGCACAGTGAATGAAATTGTGGAGGACATTAATACAGAGAATTCTGAATTTAGGGCTGTAGAAGCACATAAATTCTCGAATCCTAACAACAACAAGGTAACCTTAAAGTTAATACTTGAGACACCTGAGGAGGCCAAACTTGTGTGCCAAAATGGCTTCAAATGTTTTGGCACCAGATGTACACCTGACCAAATTTCTCTTGAACGCTTTGTCAGTGTGACACAATGTTTTAAGTGTTATGCCTTTGGTCATAACAACAACAAATGCAGTACTCAAGGGCAGATTTGAGCATTTGCTCTGGCCAACATTCGTATCGAGATTGTAACAACAAAAATACACCCAAATGTGTCCTCTGCAATGGAAAACATCATGCTGTTTCTGCTATCTGTCCTGAAAGAAAAAAGGAAATGCAGAAAATTCTTGAAGCCAAGAAACTGTCCACTTCTAAGAAAACACCACTCCCCAGGCACCGCCAACGATGTCCCAAACTTCCTTCCCAGCTCTGCCTGATCAAGTGGGACTCCTCAGGTCTCTACCAATGGTTTCCAATGTTTGGAATATCTGCCCCTCTTGGAGCGCCCCAATCTAACCCTCACTTACAACATACACAAACGCAACAACAAGGTTCAGTCTCATCTCCTATGTCTCAGGTATCCACAGCCGGGATATGACGAGAGCACAACTAATGTACATGATGGCCAAAGACATAGCAGGTGGTGACATTCAACTCTGCTCTCAGGTTTTAAATGATCTGTTAATGGCTAATGGGATCACTCCCATCACTATCCCAGAAAATGTCAAGGCTATTATGACCCAGCCTTCTCATAACAAGAAGTATGTACCATACTCTACATCTAAAAATAAGCCTAAGTCATCCCTGGCCCAGGGATCGCCCACCTCGCAAACCCAGGTTGCCAACTCCCCTCAACCCGATAAGTCAACAACTGAACAAAACAATGCCCCAGAAATTGGTGCCTACTCTCCCGCTATAGAAGCTGATTCTGTTGAACAGGAACTTTCCCAAGGTAACTCACCTTGCCTACCTAATATTCCCTTAGAGCCTCCACAGTCTCCCATTAACTCTCACGAGCCTCTGCTTCCTGTAACTGGGAATAGCATACCTCAGTTTTCTGATGATGACTCTAACGATTCTAATGAGTCTGTTAATATTACTACCTCTAGTGAAGATGATGGCATTTTTAATACACAGGCACCCACGCAAAAGTTCCCTCCTCCCCTTGACGAGTCCAGCAGGGATAGTGTGGATACAACACGTGACTACTTGCAAGCGTTCAGACCGCAGTACACGAGCGAAGTGCAAGAAATAATGGGGATTACAATTTTCCAACTTAATGTTCAACATTTCTTTAATAACAGTTACCTTCTTGAGGTTGAACTACATAACTACAATCCCGATGTTATACTTTTGAACGAGACAGCTGCAAGAGTTGATCAACATATTAAATTACGTGGTTACTGTGGAGAAATCGAGAGGACCCTTTAGTGGTGTAGCCATCTTAGTTAAATTAGGCTATACATTTAAAAATATTCATGTTGATGAAGATAACATTCTTGCATAGAAATGACAACGTCTCATGGACAACTAAGTGATAGGAACTGGATATTTCTCCCCCGAGACAACCATATATAGAGTCAATTCCTCTACATAGGATATTAAGCAGAAATATTCCAACAATTCTAGCGGGAGATTTTAATGCTCATCACCCTGCCCTCTTCAACTGTGGAGCTGGTGTTCCACTGGGTGACTTAAAAGGAAAACAACTCTTTAATATCATGACAGCTAGAAACTTGTCATTTCAAGGCCCATTCTTTAAATCGTACATTGGACCTCATCCAGGGACACCAGATATAGTACTGACAAACAGAGACTGTGACATTTTTCACTGTCGTATATCTCCTGGTGGAAATGTAGGATCTGACCATATCCCTGTTATAATACAACTACAAACTTCTCCATTTAGAGTACCTGTACCTCCTAAACCCAATCTTAACACCCTAGGATTTGACCCCTTCAGGGCATATCTGGGTAAGGATGAAATTGTGTCATTGGATAATCTACCTTCCAATGCAATTGATGATGCAATCAGGTCCCTGCATAATCGAATTATTGAAGCTACTAATGCAACTTGCCAATTAGCTTCCACAAAGATATACCAACAATATAAACCTACTAGGGAAATTAGAGACAATTTAAGAAATTATCAAGCAGAATGTCGAAGGCATCTTCAAACGCGACAACCACCAGCAGCTACACTGCACCGATTAAGGCACGAATTAATTAACATGATTAGTCAACACAAACGGGACATATGGAAATTTCTAGTTCTTCAAGCTAATCAGTATAAACGTGAACCAGCAAATTTTGGAGTAAGATCCGGCAACTTTTAGGGCAAAGCACAAGGCTCCTAACTACCTAGTTCATACCTTCACTGATGAGGATGATGAAGATGTTGAAATTAAACTTGACGATCCACAGGACCAGGCTAATTTGATGGGTGATGTATGGGAGAAAATTCTCTCCCACAATAACAGTCGTCAATTTAATAATAATCATTATCAGTTGGTCAATGAATGGAGAGAGGAGAACTTGATGATCTACAACCACTACCTTCCATCGATATACTTCAACTCTTGAAGATACCCACCCGCTTACTAAGACCTATTACATTACTAGAGATAAGTCAGGTTATTGGAAGAATGAGAAATAG